CTCTTGCTCAGGCTGGTCTCGAACTCCTGACCTTGAGCGATCCACCCGCCTCGGCCTCCCAGAGTGCTAGGATTACAGGCGTGAGCCACCGCACCTAGCCTGTTTATGTGTTCTATTTGGTCTTGTCTAGAATATGTCTTTCCTTCCCTCTTTTTTTCTCTTGCCCTTCATGTGGCAGTCACATAGCAAGGGCATGATGAACTAAGGTTCTCTGACTTCAAATTAGGTATTTTTTCTACCGTACCAGTGGAAGAAAGGAAAATGTTTCTTCCAGGGCCTCAAAGATTTAATTGTACTAGTTACATTTTTGTTTAAATTATTATAGTCAAGCATTTATCAAAATGAATTTCCATTATTTTTTTTCATTTGAAAATGCTTAGAGATTTTCTGAAACAGACATTTAATCTAATGAAAAAATTGCTTAACATTTAGGACTTTTCCTAAATCCTGGAGTAATAAGAAATGAACATTAAATCAATCACTTTTTTAACTTTAAAAGATGAAAAATTGTTACTTTTTAGGTGCCTGGAATTCTGTAGGATTCCTAAAGCATAGGTTAAGTTAAAAACCAAAATAGAGGCCTTGGTTATTTTTTTGAACTTTGAACTTTGTCCATTTCATAGGAAGCTCATAAATTTCTTCCATTCGTTCTCAGAGAAAAACAGCATAGCACTACTGAACATATTAAGCTGTTAATTTGCTAGTAGTTATAATTTGTTGTGTTCTTGAGTAAAAAATGTATTAGATACATAACAAAGATATTATTATTTATGTAGATGTTTTCTTTATTTTTTATGGTCAATTATTTACAGGTATCCTCCCTACCTTGGGGATCTGTGTCAATCTCTCCTCGATGTTCTTTTCTTAGACTCCAAAGAAAAGCTCACTCTCAGGTACCCATAGCCGTCTGGTAATACTGTAAATGAGCGAAATGTATCACAGGGATAAGGGATTGGGGGGCTTTTTGAAAGGGACAATTGTGGTAAATTCCAGGCAGTTTTTGTCATGCAGGATTATGGACTTGGTGATTCCCTCTTGGAACCTGGAAATGTAGATTTGACGTAAGTGGTCATGATTTTCAGAGTGCTGTGTGGGCCAAATAAAACACATCTGCAGACTAAACTTGACCTATACAGGCCACCAATTTGAAACCTCTGTCCTAAACTCAGGAGGCCAGATTTAATTTCTTGTTGCCATCAACTTTAAATGAAGCCCTTTTAGTGGATAAAGAAAGTAAAGAACTACCATGCTTTCTCATTCAGAAAAAGCTGCTGCACTTGGGTGGAACTAGAGACCACTATCCTAAATGAAGTATCTCAGGAATGGAAAACAAACACCACATGGTTCTCAGCAATAAGTGGGAGCTAAACGGTGGGTACACATGGGCACAAAGAGATGTAAACGACATTGGAAACCAAGAAGGGAAGCAGGTGGGACAGGGGTGAGGGATAAACACTTACCTGTTGGGTACAATGAACACTACTCTGTGACAGGCACACTAAAAGCCCTGACTTTAGCATTATACAGTGCATCCATATAACAAAAACATTTGTACCCCCTTAATAGTTTCAAATTTTTAAAAAGCTGCTACAGAGTACCCAGTTTATGGATGTGCTGGTAATAGAAGAGATGATAAAAGGTAGAGCTCTTACATGTATTACCAACCTAGTACAGAGGCCATTTTGATTTCTAATGCAGAGGACCATGGAAGGTAGCGCAGATGTAATTTGTTTGTAGAAAGAGGAAAAGATAACTTTGACACCTTTTTTTCCCATTCTAAAGAATTCATCTATGAGTGTCCTTCTCCAACTGTATTGCCAGGAGGTATTGCCAGGAGGATGGTTAAGAAGCAGTATTATAGAGGTTACTAAGATACATTTTGAAGATTTCCCTACACAAATCCTTGTTTCTATCTGGTTAGCTCTTTAGTGGAAATTCCATTGTGGCTGTGGGAGTAGCCATTATCAGACTGCAGCAATAATCACCACCAAGCGTCAGTCCTCCATTGAGTGTAAACTCTACCTTCAAGTTCCCATGTGCATTAATGTGTTAAGGTCACGAGAAGGATCCACCTTTTTGACCCAAGGAATAGTTGTGTGGGTTTATTCTGTTATCTTATTTTCTTGGGTCAGATCATAAAGATACTATCATAAATAGAGCAAGATTTTTTTTTTCTTTTTGAACAGAGTCTCGCTCTGTTGCCTGGGCTAGAGTGCCATGGCATCAGCCTAGCTCACAGCAACTTCCCACTCCTGGGCTCAAGCGATCCTCCTGCCCCAGCCTCCCTAGTAGCTGGGACTACAGGCATGTGCCACCATGCCTGGCTAATTTTTTCTATTTTAGTAGAGATGGGTCTCGCTCTTGCTCAGGCTGGTGTCAAACTCCTGACCTTAAGTGATCCTCCCACCTCGGCCTCCCAGAGTGCTAGGATTACAGGCATGAGCCATCACACCCGGCCTAGAGCAAGCTTTAATTGGGTTTGTGCTTAACATGAAGTGTATGTAACCCTCCAACTTTTTGGTTGTACACAGATTGGGATGTCTAACAACAAATCCCCATGCATTTTCTCCTGGAACTCTTTCCTCACCTTACACTCTTCATACATTTTGAAAGCACAGAATCAGTCTAAGAATGTACATTTTGGAAGCAACCAATAGGACTGAATTATCGAAGATTTTTGCCAAGTTGCTTGAAGAGCTAGGCATTTATGGATTAACAATCATAGACTTTGAATTGCAGGCCTTGACCTATCCAAAGAGCAAACAGTTTATAAAGTCAGCTTGAAATATCTGCATGCTATTTTTGCCCAGCCTCCCTGGGGTGAGCACTTACATTGATCATTTACTGCACGCAACGTTCAGAAACAGGTTTGTGCTGGTACTAAGATCAATAGTGGGAAAAATACTGGCAGAGAGACTCTGGATTGCAGTATAGTGACCCTGCTTGTTAAGAATCCAAAGACAGGATTACGTGCCTGGGCATCAGAGAATGTGGCTCTCTCTGTTTTCCTGTGGGTGCAGGGAGGGGGGACTGAGTGCCCAGACTATTCCTTCTGTTCCTTTGCCCAGGTTCATCCCCCCGGAGATGGGGAAAACTCCTTTATGTTATTCATGGGTATAAACAGTCTTCAATTTCTTCTGTCCTCTGGGTGTGCGTTTCCAAGTCTCAAATAAACATGATGATATTTTGTAATCCCAAAGATGATCTCCATGCTGACCATTTCTGTGAGGAACAAGAGATCTGGAGGAAGTCATATCACCAGTAACAAATACCAGAAAAAGGCACAGGTCTTAAAGCCAAATGACATACAAATTAGGTATCAGTAAGATTATAGCTACTCTCATTTTGTGATTTGTATAATAATTCATGAAAAATTGCTCATAAAATGAATATTTTGTAAATGAAATTTTATAAATCAAATTATAATAGCATTGAAATTGTCATTTTGAAGAAATCTTCCTGGGAATGCTCTGTGAAATAAACCACCGACTCCTAATTTATTTGCTTGGTAAATGTTAGGTTTGCCTAATGCAAGGTATCCTTGTATTTCCAAGGTAAGAGCAGGTACCACAAATACTTATCTCTCCTTAAATGCTAATTAGAGCTTTGGAGCTAGTTTTGAGGCTTCACGTTGAGAAAACTATTATGATTTTGAGCATGATAATAAAGACATAGAAGGAAAAGTTGGAGGAATAGGGTCATTCAAGTTGGGAAGAAAAGAACAAAAGCAGAGGTGGGGAA